TACAATCAGAAGAGATCAATTCCATCAAACTTTTATCTGCATACAAGGAAGTAAGTGCACCATCATAAAAACCATTAGCTTTGTAGTGTCTCTGTTGGTCAGGTGATCCAAATATTGATATGAATTATGCAGGAAGCCTTCAGGAAAACTAATGAATGTTTCATATGATAAATAAGGTATTACCATTTCTCTTCTTTCAGATTTTTTCCTGAGACTAATTGCTAGCTAGATGCCTAAGAAAACATTAGCAGATATGTTTTGCTAGGTTATAGATCAATCATAGACAAGTGCTTTTGCTTATTTATGCCTCTAAAAGGATGAACTCAGAAATAGCCAGACAGGAATCTTACAGAAATAAAACTGCTCTGTAATAATTTCTGAATATGATTAATGTGGTACTAGGGTCTTTTCTTTTTGAATATACAGGTCTTGTCTAATGATAAATAGACACAGATGTTGAAAGAAACAGGAGAAAAAGAAAAGGAAAAAAAATCAAAATAATTCCTTCCCGTCTCATTAGAAATAAGCAGTTAAGAGAAAATCTTATGAAAAACAAGGCTGGGGGGGAGTGATAAAATAGAAGATAAAGACTACTGTAATTCTTTTTAGTTTTCTAAAGGAGAAGTTAACTGCTGTTAATAACTTTGATACCACACAAATGAACAAACACCTCTTGGAGGATCTGAAGATGGTAAGACTACCAGGGAATAGGAGTATATATGTAAATATAACAGTCTCTGTGCTTTGTCCTTACTGTTAAAATAAGCCAAACCTTGTATTTGCAGCCATTTATAGATATTTGTGCTGTGGGTACAAGTGTAAAGATACTGTACAGCTGAGAGTTTTGCACTCTCATCCTGAAGCAATCCAAGACTCCTGCTCTTATTTCCAATGTATATAGAATTATAAATTAGTAGATTTCCCAATCACTTCCTCTCAGTCCAAGAATCTAGAGTTGGGACTCTGAGGGAGAAAGACAGAAAGGTAAGTTATAAATGTACGTATTGTAAATATCTCTAAAGAGAGACCAGCCATTCTTCTCTTGCTCTGAGTGATCATCTCTGGAGATATTCACATCAGGGAAGGTCCCAAAAACTCCTAGGTAGAGCCCTCAAAAATTGATATTGGGGGATTATTTGTGGCAAAAAGACAGGCACTTGTTGATGCTATCTAGCATATCTTCAACAATTTAATCCTATTTTTGATTTGATCTATTAGAACCAGCCGTTGGCTAGTATAAAATTGTGGAGAGAAAAAAGAACTACTACTAAGAAATTTAAAAATTAGGAGAAGCTAAGAAGAAGAAAGCAAAAGAAGTATGGCATCTATTGCAGTACTGATGATAGAGTGAATTTCAAACAAATATCTAAGGGGAACTAACACTGCAAGGTCACAATTTTTAACTAAGCATTCTCTGGCAAAAAAGAAAAAAAAGGCAGACCAGACATATAGGCAGCTGATCCCAGGCTGATATGCAGCAGCTAACCTTTGGGTGTTAACCATGCCCCCAACAAGTTGGGATCAACTGTGTTCAGTAGCAGCACAGAGAAAGCCATGTGAAGAACTCATCCACGTTTGAGTGTATTAGAGAATAATTTTTCACCACAACTCAAGCAGATTATCAGCAACAAAGGCAAGCGTTGGGCACTGGGCCCTTCTGGGTGGAACCTCTTTGACACCAGGAATTAGCCATGTTTTTCACTTTTACCTACAGAAAATCCCTACTCACCAGTCTAGTGGAAGGTGAATAAGAATTATCCATTTTACATATTTTAATTTACCATCGCCAGATTCTGTCATTGTCTCAGACTCATTCAAGAACCTGCAACACAAACATCCCAGCTATATTGGATAGTTGGTAAACAAGTGCAAATCTCAGGAACCCATGTCACATCAGCTAAAATCATAGTAAATATAGATTATAGCCAAGGGATATTTGGGGCTGCTGAAAAGGAGTCTTCTTGAACATCTATAAATTTATTTTAGCTTACGTTCATTTTCTAATATATATCCTACTTATTCTAGTCCACCATCATGCTGGCCAGCACAAATTGTCATAGAACACAACTTTCAATAATATATCAATTTTGAATAAAAAAGCTTTCCTGACAGACATAAAATTGGCTGTTATTTTGAGCCCTGCTCATGTAATTTTTTTGGATTTCATTGTTTTCAACAGCTGCAAGACAAAATGAAGCAGGCACATCCAGACTTTATTTATGTTTTTAAATTTTATATCGTTTGAAATTCAATCCCACAAAAATGTTCATGAAAAAAGTATATCTTTTGCATACTCATCTAGATGTAAGAAAATTTGCAAATATGGTTTTCTGACCCAGCCATTTGAGCCAGAATGCCTCCCATAGTTGTGCTACTTGTGCACATTTGTTTGTTATATTATCCCTTTTTCCCTCCAACCCTAAACTAATCCTGTGTATTCCCAGCTAAGGAACAGAAGTGGTTATCATCTGCAACAGGCAATATTCTAACTTGAACTGACAAAAAATTAAAGCTCCACTGTCTAAAAGCTTGATATTAATAGATATTATTTTAAAACACAGTAAGAAAAAAACAAAATCAATGTTTGCAGTAGATATCAACACACATCTGGTGCTACAAAGCCAAAAGCTACTCTGTTTTGGAAAGTCGAATACTCCAAGAAAGCGAGGAGTCAATTGAATTTTCAAAATCATAAGTACTTTCTAATTTCTGTGCAGTTGTTTTCTGGTACCAGACAGGCCAACAGAAGTGCTAGAACTTTGCATACTGGAATGGGGGCGGAATTTGATTGATGTGTAGAGGAGGAGCCATCAAATTCACAGTCAAACACCTTTTCTCCTAACACTAGTGGCTCACTGGAAAACAACTACCTCTTAGTGTGGCATCTCTGTTATCTTGCTAATCTTAATGTAAATTAATAACTGTATAAGAATGTTTATTAGATAAATATTATTACTTGTATCAATGAGTTCTTCATAAAATCTAAAAATATATTCTGCATCTAATATATAAAGCAAAGATATTATTTCTTCCTAAAAAATATTCCTTTGGAAAACACTAAAGCAGTTTTGTAATGTGATTTTCTTTGGTATTCATAAAGGAGAATAGCATAATTAAGCTTACTGTAAAGCACACAGAAAAGCAGAATGAATAGTGAGAATTAAGTTTGTGAGACACCAAAACTGAATTGTAGGATTTTACAGCTCACTTACCCCTACAGCCCTTAAAGTTAAGAGTGTCCACTTGCAAATCCCTAGAAATTCCATCTTGAGAGGAAATTAAATACCATATAGGAATATTAAAATAGGAAATTAAATATTCCAAATAGGAAATGAAATTAAAATTTCTGTTTCAAGAACAATTCAGACAGTCTTGTCAGTCTACAGCTAGAGAATCCTAAAATCACAAAGCATTGGTTGAAATAAGTGAACACTTACAATTTATACTGACTGATGTGAATATCAAACAGAAGGAGCCCTCTGGAAAGTGACCTGATGCTTCTCACAAAAATGCAGACACAGAGTGTACACTGTTTAGGATAAGGAAAAGCAGACATGTTCTCCCCAGAGCACTGCCCTAATGACCCCCCCACAGTGCAACCTCCAGCAGAGCAGTCAGTGTCAGCACATGAACTTCACACAGCTGAAAAATACAGCAATTGAGGCTGCATCATCATGAAAGACTGGGTTCTGTAAGAGACAACAAATCTAAAGTTAGGAGAGGCCAAGAAAACTTTAATCCTAAGAGAGAATGGTGCCCTCCTCTCATTTCTTTGAGGGGCAGCATGTTCCATTCCACAGTTTGTAATGGGTTACATCAGACTTAATTTTGGAGAGAAAAATACAACTAGCTGTCCCAGCATAACATTTTTCCAACACAGGAAATGACAGAACAGTTTGCAGGACACTGCATGAATGTGCAATGGAGGCTCCCAACTCTCATTGAACTAGAACTGACTCATTATCATGCAAGTAATGCAAGCGAATATGATCATAATGCACAGGGCCTTTCTGACTTTATTATGGCAAGCTATAGGTTTTAGTTATATTTTCCCAATCAGATAAAGCAATATAAAAATGATTTGGAAGAAAGAATCTTCTGTTTCTGTTGGAAGTGAAGAGAAGGTTAATGGCATTGTTTTTACACTACATATCCTCTCTGTGAATCCAGTGTTTCATGGTGATAGCTGTAAGAACTGATTATTAAATTTTCAAACAATTTCCAGAATGATTTATACATAAACTAAGTGAATATTTTTTACATAGATGATTTAACTTGTAAACCTACTTATGAAAGTTTTGGCAACTGATAATAAAAAATTGGATAGCAGTCTTTGCTTGCTAGTAGAATAATTGGTAACATACAAGATGTGGATGTGGTCCACAACTGCAAGAACTCACATTATTTGCTGCTGAAAGGTCAGTAACAGTGTTACATGTACTGAATGCTGCTACTGGGAAGACAGAGATTTCTTCCAGTGAAATGTTACACCATTTGCTAAAAGGTAGTGGACACTGAGATAAAAAACTCTTAAGACAATGAAGAAGAAATGGTGACACTTTCTCTCCTAAACTCACAATTGTATTTACAGTCTTGGAGTAAACAACATGGAAATAATTATGGACAGGTTTTTTTCTGATGCAGTGATGATGCACAAGAAGGCTGCTTGTGCAGATGCACAGAAATATTTAAATAGTGAAAAATGGAAAAATTTATCTGCAATAGCAATTCTCTCTCTTGTCTGAATTGACAAAACACTGAAGTTATAACTTCAAGAATGCAAATGGCATTTTATTTTGACCTTCTGGCTTCAGAACCTCATTGCATCCAAAATGATGGTGAAAACTGTATCAAATTTCACACATCCTCTTCTCAACTGTATTAGTTTTCTTACAAAAGCAGAGATGTATAGTCAGACAAGCTTGACCATGTGTAGGCGTTTGCTTAAAGAAATTTTGCATTCATAAGTTTCCCTCAATTGTATTAGAAGACATACTTACAATCACTGGTGTTTTTTTATCTTGTTTGTTGTTAGTCTTCTATTAGCCTTATCTTATCTTTCTTCATGTAAGGAATTTGGAGCAGCTGAGCATCAGGCTTGGAGAAAGCAAGCAAGCCCTTCCATGCACAAAAGAGGGATTAAAGCCATTGTCATGGCAACAGGAATCAGATGTGAATGCTCTGGTTGCCTATATTTTAGTACATGGGTAAAGATAGTATAAGTTTAGACTGAAAGTGCAATGTTCTTTGATTCCACTTTTAAATTATAGATTAAGTCATATAAATTTCAAGGAAAAAAACATTTAAACTGATTTGTGCACTAATTAATTTAAAGATCTTATAATTTTCAAGAATGTGAAACAGTGCAGAAGTGTTACATAAAAATCAATCTTAAATTTATGAACACTTTTCTCACAATATTTTATGTTGATAAAGTATTCTGTTTTACAAAGAGTCTGTCATAAATAAAATTATTCCTGAAATTCAAAATATAAGCCCTTGCACCCTATAGTATGCATACCCATAAATTGAAATAAGATCACTGCATTCACTAAATCAAAAAGGTACATGATTTGTAATTGTGTTTTCTCCCTTTGTTGTTCTAAAGGAGGATTACATAAATTTGAACAGGCTCTGAGAAGAGCACAGATCCAGTGGTCTTGTACTATAATCAATATCTGCAGAGCGCATGAATGTCGTTCTTACTTGTACACCTGTGCATCAACTGGGAAAGCATCCTGTGTAAATAAATTAATTGGAATTCTTACACACAGACTATCTTCTAGCATTGATCTTACAGCTGTTATTGACACTAAATTGTTAGATCACAACAGCCCAGAATATATATTTTTGAATTTATCTTTATATCCTGTTACATGTTTTTAAATTTAAAATCTTTTCTTTTTTTTTTGACATTCTCTTGGCTCCAGGACTGCTGTGTAAAATGTGTTTGATCTTTTGATGTGAGATCATATTCCAATGATAAAGCTGAGCCTCAAATGATTAATCTCCATATAAGCACCTTGGAAAGGGCTGTGCAGGGAGCATTTCAGTGCCCCTAAGAACACAATTCTCTGAGTCACTCTGAAGAGTTATTTGCTCTCCTTGAACACAGAAAAAACAAAAGGAAAAAATATCTCACAAAAGCCACCACAAAAGAAAAAAGGAAAAAATATCTCACAAAAGCCAATCCCCTCTGTCCCCTTCATATTGGTAGAAGACAAATCTTTCTTAAAATAGTATGAATTTTTAGATTCCAAATATTCCAAATATTGCAACTTACCAAGTAACATTTCTCCCTTGGTTTCTAATAGACTTGAAAATGTGTATTCACTATGAACTTTTCTTTATTCTTGTTAAGTTTCAGTCCTCACACAATTCCAAGTCACAGATATGTTGAACCAATGTACTTTGCTGTTCTCCCAGTGACCTCATCTTGGCTAGATGCTCTCTCAGTCCCAGTGTTTGCACATTTCCCACTGCCAAATTTCCCTTTTCCCCAGTTTCATTCTGTTTTACCTTAACTGAAGTTTCTAGAACTGCAGAATATCCAACAATTTAAAATAATGAAATAATCCTAAAAGATCCCTCTGCCTGTGATGAGCAGTGGAGCCATGTTCTGATCATCATCCATTTTTTCTCTCCCCTGTCAAAAACTTTATTTTTGACATTCAATCATTCTCTGTGTGATCGGGAACAATTTATCATTAATTTGAAAGAAGAATATTTCTAGAATACATACTTTCCTGCTGATTTTCCAATTCCATAAATCCACTTAGTTGTCTCTTTTGTTTAAAAAAAATCAGCTATCTTTGAGTGCAAGGCATTTTAAAGCCTTTTACCATCAGTAGGAATTTAAATATTTATATTTCTTTTAATCATTGGACCGTAGACATGGCTCTCCCAGAGCAAAGCAATTCTTTTTCACAGGAAATGTGTTGCTGTTTTCTGAAGTAATTCAACAAAGACTGAATTCAAAATGAACACAGTAGAATTTCAGATTTGCTGATTAGCAAGTGTTTACTTGTTCATTAGATTGAACCAAAAAACTCTGTAGTAACTGCAGACTTTCTCCCATAGTAACAGCAATACACACAGTAGGGAAAATTACTACATACTTGATTCTCTCAATAAATTCTTAAAATAAGCTCCATGTCCCTAAACCCATGTCCAGTGTGAAAGAAAAAGTAGGTAGATAAGTATATGAACAGCCACTGAAATTTTTCCAGCCTTGACCGCTAGAATATACATTGGTGTTTCTTCTGAAAAACTGGCAAATCCATAAGCAGGTGGTGCGTGAAGCAAAGTCCAACAAACCTCCTTTCATTTATGTCTGTCTAGGAAATTGTTTTCTAGGGCTGCCTGTTTTGTCACTTCCATTTCTGTCCATGGAAATTTCTCTTTGTGGGTTTTAATTTTTAAAATTTATTCACATTTCTTCCCATTTGATCATACTGACAAATTTGTTTTCTCACAGATCAGTAAATCTTTATTGATTCTTATTCAGACTGCAACATGTTCCAAGACAACACCCTTCAGCAAACAAGCAAGAGCCTTCAAACATGTTTTAAAGCATAATTTCAGACAAATCCCTTTGTTCTATTGAAGCTCTCTCATTATCACAAAATTGTTTTCCCTTTGCCCTTTGGATTAATTTCAATTTACCAGTACCTACTTTTAAAGCCAAGTGTAGAACACGAATTTAAACAAAACACTGGTGCCAAGTTACTATGCATCAATGCCAATTCTTAAAAATTCTTTTAATCTCAGTTTTCAACTTGATCCATATGTAAGGCAGCATTAAATTACTGATTGCTCTCACTTTTAGAGAAACTGTAAACTCACACCCTGACCACCCACAGTTCCACACCTCCCATCACAACACAGCCAGCATCTTTTCAACCCTGTTCTTTGGTGACCTGCATATCCAAAATACAGCCTGTCACCAGGCTTTGGGCACATAATGTTTTAGGCAGTGCCACTGTGAAAACACTGTGACTAGAAAGCCCACTAAAACTTATATTTTGATCACAGTTTGCAACAGAAAATTGAACTGGAATTCTACAGACATTATCTTGCCAAATTTTAAAAGTCATGACAGAGATGACACACCATTCTCAGAGTCTGGATGTGTGCTGGGGGTGGTGAGATGGGGGCTTGTTTGATGTTTTTAATTTTTTAATTAAAACATGGGAAAATGACAAGGGCTGCTCTAAGATTCCACATAGATTTCGACAAAGCCCTATGGAATATCTCTTCTTTTCTTTAGCTATTGATCCTAATTTAGATGGTGCTTGTGTCACACTTAGACCTCTACTAAACTCTTGCTAGGTCAGTAAAACACACACTTTTTTTTTTTTTTGGATTTAGAAGAATGCTCTTGAATCTCATCTTGCATGAGCTGGTTTCTTCTCCCCAGTTAAATTTATGTTGTCATAAGGAATGCTCTTCAGCATCAAGGACAGAACACTTTTCCTTCTTGCCTCGGACATATTTGATTCATTGTTTCATATATTAAAACCAAAATATCCTACCATCTGGGTAAGAGTTATCAAAAATATTCAGAAAATTAACAGAGTTCCATTTCTCATCTTCATCTGCAGGAGCTTTAACAACTAAAACTTTCCTAACTACAGGTTTCCCATTTCAGCTAGATCTCATGCGTCCTCTCTGGAAAGCCACCAAGAGCTGCAAATCATGAGTTTTTGCATAGAATGTATCCTTAAAAATGCAAAAAAATTCAAATGGTAAGGTACCTTTCCTATCAGCAATTACATATTGTTTACCTTTTTAAAACCTAATGCAATGTAATTATTATCGCTTGACTTATCTTTCAAAGGTCCAATATTTGATGAATGAAAATTACCAACTAATTTTGTGTATTTGAATACCAATTAGGCTAATAGTTTGTGAATCCTTGGGTAACCCGTTTGAGTACATTTGCCTTACATCTCCATTTGAGCTTTCACAGATTCTTTCCCATGTCTACTAGCCGAGTCTTACTAATGTACACTGACTAATAGAAAAGAAAAAGCAATAAGACTGATTTGGTCATTCAAATGAACTGATTTGTTTGTCAAAACAAATAAATTCCTTTTACCATGCAAACCTTAATTCTTTATCTGGTTGAAGGACTTTCACTAACATGCTCCATTAAGAATGTTTGTGACAATTGTATTCAATTTTTTGACACCATCGCTATCAATCTGAATTGCTTCCATTAAACTCGTACTGTTTGTTTTAGCTTGTAAAATAAATAGTTTTAAATCATTCAAAACAAAAGAGAACACAGATAATACATCTTTTCACTGTCCCAGGTATTAAAGCGTTTTGTGAAAAAAAGGTCATCTTGTGTTTGCAAAGCTGTGTGTCTCTATACTACTTGCAAGTGATTCAGACAAGACAGCTTACTTAGGATCTATTTTATCTTCATTAGACATTTTTAACTGCAAGACAGGTAATTATTCATTCTGAACATATGCAGGACTTCTGGAAGGTAGGTTACAGGATGACCAAAAGGTCCTGAAATGAAGTGTTTTGGATCATGAAACTGAGGAAGAGAAAAAGGGAGAATGGCACTGAACCACGTTCAAGTGGATTTGGGTTACAAAGGTGTGTATTTCTGAGGAGCAGGCCAGTGATGCGAGGCAATTCTGGCAAGTAGGACATGCACAGCATTTGCATGATCATTGATGTAGACTTAAAACATATAATTCTTGAAGAATCTATCACACTCTGGCTGGCGCTGCAGATAGCCCAGCTCCAGAGAGTTCCATATGTGCAATGGGCAGAGCTGGAAGGCTGTGTGGGTGCTAGAGCCTACAAATGCCCACACCTTTAGCTGGCATGCCAAGAATGGAGAAAAGACAAAAGGAGTAAGTTAAGATGGAAATGAAAATAGAACCAGCTATCTGGGGAGACCATGAGACTTTGCAGGTCATGATTTGAAAGGAACAAAGCCCTTGTTCCCTTGCTATCCTGTCTGATGGATGTCTCTGATGCAAAAGGAGTGGCAATAGTGGAGGTAAAACTAAGACCGGAGTCTCCAGCCTACTGATATGCATAATATGAATGATCTTTGTAGATCTGGCATCACATTAACAGGCACTGCGTATGAGGAAGAAATGTGC